GCCTGGAAGTAACAAATGCATGGACCAGTTTTTCAGCATCACTTTGAGACAAGAATATAAAATAGTGAGTTTAATTCCTAAACAATCTGGAAGCAAGCACAACGCAGTGCAAATACAGAAAACAGGAAATGAGTACGGTTTACCGCAGGAAACAGCAGTCCGTCAAAGGTTCCGCCAGATCAACCATCGATCATTTATACCTTACACATAAATCTTATGTTGTCAGTCACGAATAGCTAAGAACTCAAAGTGATTATAGTACAGTTCAAATATCTGTAAATTGTGTGTGCCGGTGCTGGGCAAGTAGTGCATAATGGGTTTTCAGACCTTTTGGTTTAACCCACTGATAAAAATGACACAATGAGAGCAGTGACACAGGATCAAAACATTAAAGTTGCAGACATCTCACTTCTCCTAGAAGTTCTGGGAGTCTCCTGCTTTTTGAGAGCAGCTCTCTGATGTCTGCAAATAATGAATAATATCATGGAAATCGATTTTTTTTTCTTGAGAGCGAGCAAAAGAGAGGGAGGGGGAGAGAGAGAGGTCTCTCTTTGTGCTAAGTGAATCTATCGCTTTTCTTTCTGGGCAGACTTCACAGTCAGCCTCTGTCCACTGGTTCAGTTGAGTGTCATGGCATGCAGCAGTATGGCAGAGTCCTCAAAAAAAAGAAAAAGACAATGCAAATATCACTTCTCCCCAGTGTACAGTAAAGTGGACCCCTGCCTTATAGCAGTAAAAAATAATCAGTTTTGCTCACTGTGTTGTTTGCAACAGCAATTTTTCTTTTGCCTAAAGTGGGTTAAATGACTATAAAAGACATGGCAATGTGAGCTTAAACGCCTTGTATACTCCCTGCTACTCGGTGAAAATTCTGATGTAAAAATGACCCCATGAGTTGAATGATGATAATCATATCATATGAAGCTATCAGGCTCTGTTGGGCTGAGGAGGTTTGTGGAATCGGGTGATAATTCGCTGTGGGCTTGTCACTAAAAGAGATGCCTTTCACATTATAAAGCCATTTGATCCATTGTTGCTTTAAATTTAGTTTGTTGTCAGTTGATTTCAAGCCCAATTGGAACTTACAACAGTTTCTATGACCAGAAAATGACAACTGGTTCCTAGAAAAAAACCAAAAACCACATTCTGTGTGAGATGTTAGTGAAAATGGGCCCCTAATCACATGCATTGTCATTACCTAATCTGATTAACACTGGTGCTGATCCTGACTATCAGATCGGACCCTGGGGACAGTTGAGCTCAGGCTGCTCACCCGACCTCCGACAGCTTTTAAAGAGAGGAGGTAGAGTCAAGGACCCCTGGGGTATCTAAGGCACAGGATGTTTTCCAATAACAGCTTATGGCTGAGGGAAATCGTGCTTTCCCCCTGTGGCGGTGTGATTCTATCACTTTCAACCATGTGCTACTGCAACTTTTATGTGCCCCAGTCGCTCTCTCTCTCTCTCTCTCTCAAACCCTGAGGAGTTTTGACCTGATTCTTTGCTGTTACTATCACCAGACCACTAGAGAAAGTTTGTCATAGGAAGAAGAAACTCTCAGATGATAATTTAAATCTGAAGCATGATATTTGTGTCTGTGCTTGTGCTCAGTAAATGTATAACTCACCTCATTTTCATGTTGTTGAGGTGATGGTGGGTCAGTCATTGCCAGTTGGACCACAGTCTCCCAGATATGTTTGTGTGGACCACTTGCTGTCACTTTGAACTGGACTGGTTCATCCAGACTGGCTCCCGCTCCCTGTACAAAGATGGACCCGCCTGTCTGCACGCTGTTGCTGCTCTGGAAAACCACAGCTTTATTCCCCATGCAGTCGTCAAACTTCACTGTAGACAAAAAGAATTAAGAAAATTTCAATATACTGTTCAGGAAAGCAGATGATTCCAACAGTGATGATTAAATAATGAAATATACTTTAAATATGTGATGGTATGTTGGGGATCAAAGGGCAGCACGGTGGCACAGTGGTTAGCGCCGTTGCCTGTGTGTGTGTGTGTGTGTGTGTGTGTGTGTGTGTGTGTGTGTGTGTGTGTGTTTGTCTGTGTTGTCCCCCTGAGCCCCGATTGCTGGCCGGGATTGGCTCCAGGCCCCCCCCCGTGACCCCGTTCAGGGACTAAGCAGTAGAAAATGAATGAATGTTGGGGATCAGGTTAAACTGGTGCTCACAGACAGACAGACACACACACACAGTGTCTGGAGGTAGCTAGCAACGGGTCAAAACATCTTTAAGATAAGACTGCTGAGCATTGTTCTCAACTAAAGCTAAAGTGAAAATAACGCCAAGTAATGGAGTGGTGTGCTGCTGTTGTGGAGGGGTGAGGCACTGATTTTAAGAGAGACTAGAGTTCAGTTTATTTGTAGACAGACCAAGCCGGGTGTGTGCTAGAATTATTATTGGTCATAACAGAAATAAAACCCATATTAATAAGCAAAGCTGTAACATATTAAAAGAATACAAAGCACTAAAGGGAAACTAAGTGATAGATATTCTTCAGGATTAATCTGCAGAAACAGCTCCTTTTGCATATATAGTTTATTCACACCTATATATTTTTTTTAATTGTATTGTCTGTCAGGAAATATTGATTCCACTACTGCTGTGGCATGCAGTAATACCATGTTTTTTTTTCCTGAGTGACAAATACTATGCTTTTAGTTTGCAATCTGAGGACTAAATTGCTCTGTTTCTTGTCTTTCTGTAGTCTTTGTGGCAGCTCTCAGCCATAAGGTCATCTGCATTCACTGTGATTGCCACACCGGTCATCCCATCCTCTTCTCTTCTTTAGTGTTTACACGGAGATGAAGGCGTACATGTAATCCTCAAACATTCTATGCAGCATTTACTGTAACTTGTCACATCACCACAGCCCTCTCAAAAATATGTATTTTATGGTAGAGCATTTAAATGGTCACGAAAAGATACTGTAAGTCATGGCCTCTTATCTTCACAATGTCTAGATGGCATATTGCAGGAAACGCTGAGCCGAAGGCCACAGCTCACTGTGGGATCTTCTCTTTCTCTATGGCACCAGCTTTACAACAGCTGAGACAGGGCTGTCATTACAGAAAGTAAACTGCGAGTAAAGCCAGGTTTTTGTTCTGTCTGGCCCTAAATATGCCTGTGATCATGTTAGCACCCTTCGCTCAGATGGCCAGGCTAGATGTACATACAGCTACTCAGAGCTCCATCAGAGGGGACGGCTCTCCAGCAACACTCCGTCCACTGAGTGCAGCAAGTGCCGCACAGGTGTCCCTAGGCAGGAGGGCACATAAGAGATGGACTACATCAACCCAACAGACAGAAAAACCTGTTCATCAGATTGTTTTTCTCTTTGTATTACTGAACATTTCTACCCTAAACAAAAGCATAAAAAGTGTGCTTGCTGTTTTCTGGTTGCCTCATTCTCCTTCCTTTTTGTCTTACCTCATTGCTTCTATCATTATTTTTTGTAGATTTTCAAAGATTAGATTTGGAAGGTGGGGAGCCACAATAACAAACACACCAGTTGGCAAACGTGTCTGTGCAAATAGAGTTTTGGAAGGCTGCCTGATTGTATTAACAATAAGAAGTCAAAAATCAAACTCAAAGCATGCTGCATTGTATTTCTGAGTACACCAGAAAAAAAAAAACAAAATAAAAACATGCTCAAGCAGCAGGTGGCCTGTTGCCCCTCATCTCACTGTCTGTCAGTTACTGTCCCCTCCCCCCCCCCGTCATAGCCTTTAGGGGTCAGTAGCCTTCATACTGAGAGAGGGCAGGTAACTTCAACCATATCTAAAAAAGCATATATGCATGGGTTGTAACTAACATATAAAAGGGGTTCGATATTTTAATTTTTATAGTTTATATTTTAATCTGCCAACCACATAACCTGTACTTAGAATAAGAAAGAAAAACACAGAAATCTGTGTGAAAATCTGTTTCTTAAAACACAATGTTGCAAACAACAACATGCTGTGAAAGGCTCCAGTTCTGGCAAGCTTGCAAAAGACGAGCAGGTATAGATGATGAATAGATATATGATAATTAATTTAAAGCTGTGCTTATAGCAGCAAAACCCTCTTTACTGTAAACCCCTGTGATCAAACAGTGCCTGCCTTTATACAGCAGGACAGAAAACAACTTCTATAATAATAATCACTTTATTTAGCCAAGTATGTTGCACACAATGAATTTGTTTCCGGTATAGAACTGAGGCAACCATCTGCGGCGCCAACTCAAGCGATGGCTCTAACCATCGGGGGCAACTTGGGGGTTCAGTGTCTTGCCAAGGACATTTCGACACATGAAACGGCAGGCACCGAGATTCGAACCTCCGAATCTCCGGTTGGGAGACAACTGCTCTGCCCACTGAAACACAGTCACCTGCATGGATTTATGGATTTAACTTAGTTTTGTTCTCCTTAATTTGATGATCAAAGGCCTGGTTTATCTCTCAGGGAGCTGATAATCAATTAATAATCAATTAATGACGAAAATAATCATTGGTTCCAGCACAAAAAACACCAAAGTCTTACACATTTCATTTTCTTACTTTACTTTTTTCTTCTTATCCTCCTGATTTTTCTTATTCTGATTGCAAGAAGTCCTCAGATCTAAACAATATATTACCCGTAGGATGTTGCAGACTTTCATTATCATGGAAACAATCATAACACACAGTTACAATTATGGAGTTTCATTAAGTTAAGCTGTAAAAACCACATAGTCAGGTTTAGATAAAGAGAGTAGTTTTGGTTAAAATAACTTTTGTCTTCATGGTTATGATCATAAACAAAGTCTGTCACTATCTTGGGATTATCTGGCTTCACTGAGGCTAACACTGTCTATCCTGGATAACTGGTATCACAAAGCTGGTTATCAACTGACTGTTAAGTCTGAGTTTTCTTAACTAGCACAAATCATATGAACAAGCCAGAGTTGGGAATTATTAGTGACATTGTCAGAACCATTAATGAAATACTATAACTACTATACTATATAGCTACTATATAATACTGTATGAGATGGAACAGTGCTATCTTTGGGGAAATATGTTTATAGCCAAAGCAAAAAGTGATATTACAGCAGGTCTAACTGTAAACAGTAAGCTATGGCCGCATGACTAGAATACAATAATCTTCCTTCATGACACAGGCCCCAGGACATTTCATGCCATTTGTGGTCCCTGATATAAAAACATTAGAACTGCATGTAAAACGTTTTTTTTTTAAATCCAGGTATATTTCAATGAAAACCGGCACAAGTCAAAACTGATGAGACAATAAATAATGAGGTAAGTAGCAGTGTACATACTGTAGGTGTATACTCTCTCCCTTTGTGTAGTTGTTTACTATGATTACATTGCATGTTTCAACAATGACAAGCTGAACTAACTGCAACAATACACACATAAATGGAGTGACAGACTGTGCATAAAGTACCCAGAGGGTCTTGCACCAATTAAAGAAAAAGACAGTGCCAGTTGTACCCCTCCATCAAAGCACGCACACACACACACACACACACACACACACACACACACACACACACACACACACCTCCAATAGCTTCCTTTTCACTCAGTTGGGTCAATACTGCTGTAAGAGAGATTATAAAAATCGGCCAAGAACACTGCAATGAAGCCCAGCGGCTCAGAGCTGCACATTAACAAGTCATCTAAAACGGTTGGCCCAGGTTGTGCATTGATCTGGCAAATTACACAGACAACCCAGTGTGCCATGCAGCAAGCCCAGCACTACTCCACTGCCTAGTCAATGTGAGCAGTCACACCCTGAAATATTTCAAATGTACGTTCCCACACAAGGAAGGACTATATTCTATGATTTCTTTATCACTGTTGCTTAGAAGGAAGTGAAATGGTGCTTTGTGTGCCTGGATAATATCACACCCCAGCCTCATCTTCACTTCCCCCCCTCCCCCGTTTATCTAATTAAAGTTCTCTTTTCCCTTGAACGAGACAAGGACAAGGAGGAGAGGAATGCTGAAAAGAGTTGTGACCTTCTTATGGTGTTCTCTGGACAGCCTGACAGGAAGTAGGTGACAAGTGTTGAAAGGAAAGTGAGAAAGGGATACTGTCAGGAGAGAGGAAGAAAGCTGAGGAGTGACAGAAAGAAGGTGAGAGGAGAAGGGGAGAAGGGAAGGGCAGACAGAGTGGGAAAGCGAGATGGATGAGAGGATGGAAAATGTGAGGAGGTGGCAATCAGATGGAAACGAATGAAAGATCATTAAAGACGAGAAAGAAAACAGGAGGGAAATGCTCACAGACAGACTGCAATTACTGAAGAGATCTCCAGAGGCACACGAGTTTATAGCTGCAGCCATTTAAATTGTTCAAAGTATAGTGCACTGAATCCATCAGATATCACCCTGCCCTGCAAACATTAAAGAAACCATGTCTACAGGTCCTGGGTCAGGCTAATCTTTGCAACAATCAGGCCCATTGAGGACATGAGAGGAGAAAGTAGAAAGTGGAGGATGAAGATGATGAAGAGGGAGGTGAGGGTGGAGGGAAGCGGATAGGGCCTGGCACTTGGATTCTGGCTCAGTGAACTGGCTCTCTCTCACACAGCCACATTGGAATGGATGGGATGCTCAGATGGCTGTTTAAACAGGTTAATTGGGCCGGCCTCTCCAGAGATCAGGACAGATGGATAGAATAAGAAAGGAGAGAAAGAGAGCAACGAGTGACAAAGGGAGAGCGATTTAGCTCAGAGAGATGGAAACAGAGGGTCAGGATGAAGAGATGGATGGGGGGATATGAACATGGCTGCTGATCAGAGGCACCATGGGAAGTGTGCAGTCTAATCAGAACTCTACAGTGGG